GCCTGGAATATTGCCTCTTTTTTTAGAAGTCTCACCTAGCCTTTACTACTAGTATACTCCTAGTGTCCAATCATTATCATGAGGAGATTATCTGATAAACCATTTCTATGGAAGAACACAGGGCTTATACGAAGAGCCTGGGGTAACTACCTTTACCAGACTTCAAAACATATCACAAAACAAAAATTACCAAAATTACATGGACCCAAGCACCTATACACATACATGAACCTATGTACAGGAACAAGAAAGCAATTTGTAGTATAGAAACTACAAAACTAAATGTATATCAGTAAGAAAAAATATGTATACTCGGTCATAACCATAATGAGCCACTAACTCACATCCTAATGAGTACTTTGAGGAATTCTGGGTCCCACCTGGGAATATGATATTTCACAAGAAGATAATTGAAGGGAAAACAAGTAAGTTGTGTCTTATCAGTACCTTTAATCAGAATCAGTTACTTAAAGTAAGGCAACCATAGGTGCCCTGGGAGACTTGTGCAATAGACGTTTATCTTCTGCAACAGCAGGAATTCTGGTGACATTGTAATGTCACCAGGGAGAGGTAGGGTGATGCCATTCATCAGCTCCATTTTGGGTCAGTGAGGGACCCAAGGGTTGTGTGATAACACATGTCAAGATAATGAGAGAGGGTGGGCGGCTGCCCTTCGGCCATGATGGGTGTTGGGTGAAAAGAGCTTGAGGAAAACTGTGTTGCAATTGTCTGTGGCTTCACCATTCAGCTTGTGAACTATGAGCCCCTTGGGCAAACGTGAGTCCAGCTCCTTCCTGTCCCACACCAGCATACAGCCTTGCAGAATCAGTGGTTCATCTACCTTTGTGGAACTAAACTATGTGGAGTAATTAAACCTTGAGCTAGGTAACCCTTTTCATTTCCTAATGTTTTAAACCAGAAGGAATAGAGACATGAATGAATCTTGCCTCTTTGCATAAACACTGAGGTTTAGAAAGGGAAAGTGAGCCTATCTCAGCTCACAGCAGAATCAGTGATGAAACCCTGGTTTCTCCAAGTTTGATTTGGGTTGGGGGTGGGGGCAGGAGGGTAGATGCTAGGAAGCTCACCAAGATGCACCTTCACAGATGCAGTATCCACAATGTACCCTATGACTGTGCTCCACACTTATCACAGGGGCATGGAAGTGCGGGTGGACCTTGCTCTTCTAGCTGGAACTCAGGACCCATTTCCCCTGGGAAACAGCGCCCTCTGGGGTGGGTAGCTGGTGGGCTGAAGAGGTGTTGGCCTATACCAGGCTGGCCTCTACTAGTAGGCCCATCCCACATGGAGCCCAGATACCCTGTGAAAGTACGCGATTTGGAGTTTGGGTTGTTTTCTTTGTTTTTCTGGTCCTGGGGCTTGATCTCTGAGGCTGGGCGCTTTCCCTGAGTTCCTTTTGCTCAAGGGTAGCACCCGAGCCACAGCTTCAATTCCCACTTTTTCTGTGATAAATTGGAGGTAAGAGTCTCATAACTTTCCCACCCAGGCTAGGTTTGAACTGCAATCCTCAGATCTCAGTCTCCTGAGTAGCTAGGATTACTGATGCGAGCTATTGGCACCCAGTCATGCGTTTGCTTTTACAAATGGCTTCACTGAGGTAAGTATGCATTGGATGACATTCAACATTGATGAGTACAGTTAAATAAGTTTTGATGGGGTTATAAGTTGCATGGTCACCACCTCAGCCCACTTTTAGAACAGTTTCCAGAAAGTTCTCACGCCCATTTGCATGACTCCCTGCTTCTGTCCTTGGCCTGGGAAGTCTTCCCACACTTATGATAATCTATCTGTGGGATAATATAGCCCATGGCTTGTTGTAATAGGCTCTTTGCATGTCTGGCCTCTTTCAGCTAGTGCATTTAAGGCTTATCTATATTGTAGAAGAACTCTGTGCCTCAAGTCATTGTTTGCTGCTGAATAGCATCTCATGGAAAGGATATACCTTGCGGTGTTCGTTCGGCATTGATGGACTGTTTGCTTTCATCTTGGCACATTCTGAATAATGCTGCTATGAACATTCACATACAGGTTGGGTGTAGGTATAGGCTTTTCTTTCTCATGGGTAGATATTTAGGAGTAAAATCACAAGGTGGTAGGATAAGTATGTCTCACTTTTTAAGAAATTGCCAAACTGGTAAAAAACAAAACAAAACAAAACACAAGAATGGCTAGGTGTAGTGGCTCATACCTGAGATTCTAGCTACTCAGGAGGCACACATTGGGTTTAAGGCCAGACCCCCACCTCTACCCCCCCCCAAAATGTGACGCCCATCTTGATGAACAGGTTGGGCATGGTGGCTTGTTCTGTCACCCTAACTATGCAAGAGGCATAAATAGGAGATAGTAATCTGAGGCTGGGCCTCGGCAAAAAGCACAAGTCTGTATCCAAGAAAATTAAGCAAAAGAGCTGGTACAAATCCCAGTATGAGGGGGAGGAGGGGGGACCATACCCCCATAGCAGCCCACATACAAACCCACTTTCAGAAACCACCCTGCTTATGGGTTTAGCACGGTGGCCTCTGGGAAAAAGTCTTGGAATCAATGGACACATAAAAGTATCCTGGGTCTACTCAGGAACAATTGTGTGACTTTAGGCAAATTCTGTGCCTCTCTGAGGCTCCTCTGTAAGAAAAAGTCAAACTCCAACTTCCCATCGATGCTGGGAGGTGGCTGCAGTGACTTGGTGGAGGCTGAGTGCTTTGTAGACTACACCAGGCCAAAAAGAGAGGTGGGGAGCGGGGAGCTGGCTCCTGCTACAATTGTGCAATTGTGACCCTCCAGTCATGGGACTCATTACAGACTGCGGGGCCTGTAAAGCCTTCTCCACCTCTGAAGCTGGTTAATAGCATGGTTATTAGCAAGAGTGCTAGAGTTCAGACTACCCAGTTCAAATCCTCCCTTAGACACTTAGCAGGCTTGGCTAAACATCCAGTCTGTTCATCTGAAGATAGCAATTCTCAATGCTAGGCTCTGAGCTCTGCAAAGATTCGATGAATGAATACACAGTGTTTTATGGGAGTTAGCCATATTAAACTGCATGCAGAAGGTGGGTAGTTCATATTACAGGAGTTCGCTTCTGGTCTCAAAGGGGCCCTTGAATATTGTTAGTTGTAAACAGCCCTCCTATGTGTGTGGGGGGGAGGGGGCTTCTGGCCCACAGCTTTATATAGGTTGGAGCAGGACTTCCTCTGTGCTTGAAACAACAGCCCTGACCTGACTTCAGGGGACCAAGTTATGGACCTAGGAGAAGAAAGAAACACCAAAGTTTCCTTTCCAGAAACTTAGAAAGTGGTCAGTATGGCAGGAAAGTTCTCCAAAGACCACAGAGCCCAAAGCTGCCCTCAGCCGCTGAGCTGGCAGTGCCCTATGTCACATGGGAAATTGCAGCATTCTGACAAGGCCTATGGTGCCGAGAAGCCAAAACTGTGTTCCAACTGGCCTTTGATCTCCAAGAAATGCCAATCTGATGCCTTAGCAGGAAAAGCAATCATAGCACTTGGGGCTCACGCCCTAGGAGACCATTCTGAAGCTGCCCTGGGCTTCTTCTGGTGCACAAGGAGTTTACTGAGGCCACACACAGAGCCCCCAGCTTCCTTCAGGGGGCCAGTCTTCCCACTCCCTTACTCTACTTCAGACTGTGAACACATCTAAAACCACACAGCATCAGAGGAGACTTATCAGGCAGACAGCCTGGCCCTGCTGCTAAGGTGTCTAGAGAAATGACTGAACAAGAACAGGAGCCTGGAGTCCTGGGTTCAAATCTTGACTTTCCAACGAGCCTTTCTCAACTTCAGCTTTGGAAAACTCTTGCTTTGTTTCCCAACACTCAGGTTACAACACAGATCACAGGATCATTTTGTGCCTAGTTAGCAAGTGCCAGCACATTATTTCTAATTCTTCCTTTAATGCTCGGTGTCCCTAGGAGGTAAGGTGGCTTAAAGACTCCCAGTGCTCAGATGAATAAACTGAGGTGGAGAGGTGAAATCCATTTCCAAGATCGTCCAGTGGAGACATCTATGCAGGCCACCTGACCTTAACCAATACCTGTTTAACTCAAGCTCCACGTGGGTGTGCAAACATGTGCAAGCGTGCCTGCACACCATTCCTGGGGCTAGAGGCACTGTTTCTTAGCTTGTTGTTGTTGTTGTTCAAGGCTAGTGCTCTACCACTAAATACTATACTCCACTTCCAGCTTTTGGTTGTCAATTGGTGATAAGAGTCTGAAGGACTTTTCTGCCCCAGCTGACTTCAAATCCTGATTCTCAAAGCTCAGCCTCTTCAGTAGCTAGGATGATCCATTAACACCCAGCTCAAATTCTACCATTTCAACCTCAGCTGAGTCCTGATATAGAAACTGAGCGCCAGAAAACAAAATGAACCGTCTGTCTAGCTTGGAGCCCAATGCTCTTTCCAACCACTCATGGTGCCACGGCTCAGGGGGAATGGGACCACCTTAGGTAACTCAGAGCTAAGGTGAGCAAGCGTGAGATCCATTCTATTATTTCTTCGCAGCCAAGGCCCAAGGTATCCCTCCTGGTGAACAGGCTTCCCACGTGGGTACCGGGACGCATTCGCCCTGCCTCGCCTGAGCCAGCGCCCCGCACACCTGAGCGCTGCACACCTGGGCGCCGCCAGCGCCGCGCGCGCTTAGGCTGTCGCCTCCAGCCAGGTCACTGCGCTTCCCAAGTCCCTCTGTGCGCAAGATTAGAGGAACTGCACCCAGCTCGGCCACCTCGGATACCCAGAACGCACTCTTACACCCCGGCTGCCCCAGGACCCAGGTTCCTGGCCAGGACGGTACACCGCGGGGAGGCACGCGGGCAGGACCGCCCGAGAGCGCACCGAGCGGCCGGGACTCCCTTTTATGTCCAGGAATGAGCCGAAAGCGCGCTGCCGCTGCGCCCGTCCTGCACCCCCACCCCCACCCCATCCCCGGGCTCGGGGGCCCGCGAGGGGCACCCTCGGACCGGATCGCCTACCTGCCGAGGCGCGTGTCCGGGTGAGAGTGGACAGGAGCGCGGAGACGGAGAGCAGCGGCCACAGTAGGCGCCAGCACTGCGCGTTCCTCCTGCAAGAAGTGGTGGAGAAAAGGTTGAGGCGGCGGCGGCGCGGGCGGGCGGAGGGGCGGAGGGCGCCGCGACGCGGGTCCTACCTGGGTGCCATCGTGAGGATCTGCAGAGCCCCCCGCCGAGGGCGCGCGGCGGGCCCAGCAAAAGCTCCGGCTCCGCGCCGGACTCGGGGCGCTGCGCTCGCCCTTCCCGCCGGGAACAAAGGCGGCTCTGGGCGTTGTGGAGGCAGAGGCAGCGGCAGCGGCAAAGATCCCAGCTCCAGACCCGTGCCCGGAGTCGCCCGCGCCCTGAAACCCGACTCCGCCGCGCCCTGCGCTCCTCCACGCGCGGCGGCGGCGGCGGCGGCGGCGGTTGCAGCGGGAGCCCTCAACGCGCGGGGATCCCCGCCAAGCCGGCCACCTCCCCACGCCCCTTTCCCTCCACCCGGCCTGTGCTCCACCCTAGACCTCCTTATGTAACCTACGAGGAAAGCCCCGCATCCGCGTGCTGCTCGGGGCGAGCTGTGCACGCCTCCCCCCCCCCCGGCCCCACCCAGCCCTCCAGTCTGTCCTGGTGGACAGATCACTCCCCTCTCCTCTCCACAACCACAGTGATTCCCTTACATGACTGAGGAGACCGAGGCTCAGGGATGGAGCGAAGGCCGCACAGCTGGACTCATCTCCGGGCTGCTGTACCTTGCCTGCCAAGCAGTTGGATACCCAGGAGTGGATGCGTTTGGGGAAACCTAAATGCTACCCTGAACTAAGGCTTTAAAAAAAACCCTGGTGTGCTCCGAAGTTTTGCCATGGATGCAACCCTCAGAAACCAGATCCAGTCACCTCTAGCCTCCCCCATTTTAATGATGGGTAGGTACGTGGGACCAGAGTGGGCATAAAGCGCGCCATCTACCCAGGGACTTCGGCTGTCAAGAGACCAGACTTTTAATTAGAGAAAGAGAGAGCACGAGAAAGGTCTCCGGATGATGCTGACATGGGATAGACTCAGCTGGTCATTATAAAGTCACCTACACAGGTGAGCTACCTACCCACAGCCAGGAGACAGACCCTTAGCAAGAAGCAGCTGAGAAGGCAGGAGGTCAAGGTGAGCCTGGACTCTGGGGGACTCGCTATTTATTTCAGAGCATGAGACAGGAGCAAATCTGCAAAGTGAGGATGAGGAAGCATCCTTCCTCCCAGCTGGGTGGCAAGAGGATACAGGTTAGTGAAATGGAAGGCATTTCCTGGAGTGTCTGGCAAGGTGGATGTTGGTGATGAGATTTACCATCAGCTGGAGCCTGGAGAGGGTAACAGGGAAGAGTGGAGCAGGACCTTTCTTAGGCAATGAGGCAGCATGGACCCCCTGGAGCGCTAACTTAAGCCTACCAACACATTCTAACAACACTGATCACTTTGGCCTCCTAAGAATGTAAATTCTCTTCCACTCACATAACTTTTGCATATTAATCACTAAATGTAGAGAATTATCTTTCTTAAGGTCTGTATTTCTTTATTGGTTAGCACAGCAGCTAGGAATGGAGTTGATTTTCCTTTGAACCATGTTTTTTTACATCACTTAGAAAAAGCCACCCTAACTATTGTAACAGGACCTTAGAACGCGCTTTTGCTGAAAAGCAAGGATTTCTCACTTAGACCCACAAGGAAAGAAAAACAAGAGGAACATCTGCCATCCCTGCCTTCGTTTTACAGCTGCCTCCTTCACCTTACAACTTTGGGCCCAATTCTGTCTGAACTCTGCACATGGGCCTGTTAATCATCCAAGGAGTGTCTAAAAACCATTGCTGCCTAAACTATCTTCTCCTCCCCACCCCTCCCCCCACTCAAGGTTGAAGGCAGGAAGATAAAGAGTGCCATGGGCTTTAACTGTGTCCCATTCCAGACCTTCTCAAGCTTCTAGTCATTGTCCTAAACTTGCAGTCACCTAGGTTTCTGGGAATAACAGGACTGGCAGATAAACATCTTAAGACAAAGTCAAATCTACCCACTAAGCAGCAAAGACTTTCTTATTGTCAGAAGGCCCTGCCCCACCCACTCTGAGAAAATGATCCACCAGGTTACCATTGAACCATTGAACTGATACAGTCTGCATCTAATCTGGAAACTCCAGGCAGTAATGCAAAGATGGCTTTGGGCTCACTGAACCCCTTTACCTGTTTTTCCCATGAGACTGCTTTGAATAAATCTCCTTTCTCTGCCCTTACGACTTATCTCTCACTGGTTTATTGGGACTGGGGGGTCTAGCCTAGTCTCTTGGGATGTTCAAAGTCCCAGGCTCCCAGTGACATTATGACTATCCAGTAGTTCTCTTCTGTTTGACAAAACCAGAGACTGTGAATTGGTGGTCATAAGCTCAGTGTGGCCCACATTGCCAAGGATCAACCTCCAGATTAAATTAGTTCATGATTTCTCATGACAAGGGAATTGTGTATAAAAACCCAGCTTTTTACCAGTACGACTATGTTTATTGCAGCATTATTTACAATAAATAGATATGGAACCAACCCAGATGCCCCTCAGTAGATGAATGGATCAAGAAAATGTGGTATATATACACAATGGAATTCTATGCCTCCATCAGAAAGAATGACATTGCCCCATTTGTTAGGAAATGGAAAAACTTGGAAAATATTATATTAAGTGAAGTAAGCCAGGCCCAAAGAAACATAGGTCCCATGGTTTCCCTTATTTGCAATAACTGGTATATGTCTGAGTCAAGCAGAAAAGGTCAGATAAGGTGATGTTAGGGAAATGAACCCTAAGATAAGATTCAAATGTTTTTTTTTCTTTCATGCGATTGTTTCTAACACATTTATAAGATTATTTCTTTGTTGCTTTGTATATCCCTCCCCCACAGTATAACCCCTGCTTTCACTGTATTTGATGTCAGTATAATTTGTGGAGGGTAAGGAAAAAAACAAGTCGTTTAAATAAAGATACAGGTGGACCCGTTGCAACAATGAGACATACAAGTCCTTATGTTGAAAACAAACTTTGGTGGGGGAGGGGGAGGTTGGGGGCTGGGGAAGGATGGGAAGGGGAAACAAAGGAGGAGGCTACAGCTACAATGCTTGATAAGAAATGTACTCATTATCTTGCCCATGTAATTGTAACCCCTCTGTACAGTATTTTCACAATTAAAAAAAAAAAGAAATGTACTCATTATCTTGCCCATGTAATTGTAACTCCTCTTTACGGTATTCTCACAATAAAAAAAAAAAATCCCAGCTTTTTAGCTTCTCTTAAAAATTTAGGAAAACTTGGAGACACTGGGCCAGAGAAATGCCTTCTATATCTGTAGAATCTTCCCAGCAAGCTGGAGGAAGGGCGCCTCCTCGTCCCCATGTTACACACTTGCCCGGGTTTCATGTAGTGAATAAGTAGCCAAGCTAGGGTTCATTCCATGTGCCGGCAGTTCTTGTCATTGAAGAGGGAACTGAGTCCATAAAGACAGAACTTCCAGTTTGCCATAGTTCCCACCATTCTCTATTATTCAACACCAAGCCTAAGAACAAGTCCTATTTAGCACCATACTTTGCTCTGCCTTTGCTTCTAAGAAAGAGAAAAATGGAATCGATTGAGATCTCACAAGCTTCTTTAAAAAAAGAGATATATAGTGCCAATGGCTCATGCCTGCAATCCTACTCAAGAGGCTGAGATCTGAGGATTGCAGTTCAAAGTCACCCTAGGCAGAAAAGTCCGTGTGAGATTCTTATCTCCAATTAATCACCAGAAAACGGGAAAGGTGCTATGGCTCAAAGTGGTAAATTGCTAGCCTCGGGTAAAAGAACACAGGGACAGTGCCCAGGCCTTGAGTTCAACCTCCACAATCACTACCACCACCAACAAAAAAGCCATGTTTAAGGAAAGGTGAACATGTTTCTCCATGTTTGGCATACAAATGAAGTATGCCTGCATTGAAAACGAAGATGCCAATATTATGAACTATACCTGGCTCACCTCCATCACTTATATTTACTTGAAGGATGAAGGCTTAGCTGAATTTTAATTGGTGGGCTTGGCTGTGGTCCATTTTATTAGTCCAGTGTACATATGGGTAAGGCAGCAGATATCTTTAATGACTCTTGAAGGAAGTTCTGTATGTACATTTCATATATATACATATATACATATAGATGTATATGCATGTATATATGTACATGTGTACATATATGTACTGTGTATGTATATAGACACTCATATATGTACATGTATACATATATGTGTTGTGTGTGTATATATGTATATATGTTATAGATATATAGATGCTGGCTATCTAATACTTCACTGGTATAAAGATAAAAGTCCCCAAAGCTCATTTCTCTTCTTCCAATAAGGAGAAATAGATACAAGTTAGTATTGTTGGTTTTATACCTACATCACATAGGTAACCAGACCATATTCACAGAAAAGAAGGGCTCTCATTTGGAAAATTAGCTTAGAAGTAGTAATTCCGACATCAGATTGGTGGAAGACAGGGAAGGTCTCAGGCCTGTGAGCTGGGGGTGGGGGATGGTACTGCTGTGAGTGTGCAAGGGATGGGGCAGGAAGCCAAGCAAGGCATTCTACCTCCTGCCAGACAGCGTTGTGGGGGCTTAAGCGATTTCCTTCCATTCAATGTGAAGTTGTAGAAATAGCCAAGAGGAAGCCTCATGTCATACTCAAGCTAGTCTAAATTGTTTACCGTGGTTAAATACACTCTGCAAGACTGAGACGTGTGGAGACTAGGGATTTAATGTCCCCATTCTTCCAGGACCTGGCTAAATTAATTGGCTGTTTCATTTTCCTATAATCTGTCCAAACATCCCAGAAGACTGTATTCCAAAACTGTCTCCAGACTGACTCTGGCAGCTGGAAGGGGCACAGGAATCTGTGAGAAGCATCCCAAACTTGGTTCAGAAAAGAAGTTTCCAGCAGTCAGTACATGTGATTCTGCACTTGCATTTCTTCAGGACATGGGAATAACAAATACTTCCCTTATGGAGATGCGGTGAGAAAAGCTCACAGGAGATAACAAAGACTGTGTCAGGCATCGCTGTCAGTGCCCTATTCACAGCCCCTCTTCTTGTCAGATATGTGCTTGGTTGTGTCTTCCAACTACCAACATCTGTATTTCTCTTTCTTTTTTTGTCA